GGGGGATAAACGCTGCGCCGCCCCCGCACCAGCGACACCGGCCGCGGCTCGCCTCCACGCGCCGGCTCGGAAGAGGGGCTGTCGGCGGCGCAGCAGAGCGGCTCGCCTCGGCGCTCGAGCCGCCGACAGCCCCACTCCTCGACGTGACGGCCGCTCCCGGAGCCAGCCGGTGCGCGCCCGACCCACGCCCCCTCTCGCATCCCTCCGACCCCCCCTGCGCGGCGCACCTATCCGCTGTGCGCCGGCTCGAGCGCCTATTGCCAAATCGCGACGTTTGAGCGCAGCGCACGCGTCCCACACGTCACGCGCGCGCAGGAGAGCTTGCGGCGGTGCTGTAGCGTGTACTCGCCGAGGGCATCGCGCCGAAAACCCCGCCCATTCCGCCCCAGCAGAGGCTGCAGCCGATGCGACAAAAACACCACTGTAAAACGGTGAGTACTTGGGGTTGAGTGGGCTTGCTTGCTCCCTCAGCCGGGAGCAAAAATGCAAGAATAAAAGAGACAGTCAAAAACATGAGGCGGCCATGTTTTTAGATTAAGCCGGGTGTTTTTAGATCTTGAAGCCGGGGGCGTGCACGCTGCTCGCGCCCTGGAACAAAACAACAAGCGCAGCGCGCACGCCGATGCGCGGCCTCTGTAACGTCTCTATCGGAGCATCACGATCTCTAGCATTCAGGGTGCATGTAAGATGGGTCGCGGCGACGCGGACACCGAGAGCTGCAACGCGAGCGTTCGAGCGGCGGAGTCTCTCTGCTGTGCGCACCGCGTGTCAGTTCAGGGCGGTGCGCACAGCACGCGCGCGGTCTGCCTCATCAGACGCGGCGCCCCGTCGGGGGGCGGCGGGGCGACCAGACCCTCCTCCTCGCCTGCGGCGAGCGCCCGCTCCGCCGTGCGGTAGACGACGTCGTCGTCCAGATAGGCGCCGCGCGCGGTGGCTGTGGACGGCGGCGGCGTCAGCCATGTGTGGTTGAGGCACTGCTCGATGGTGGCGCGCGCAGTCGCGTCGATGGTGAGGAGCGCGTCGCAAAACTCGCGCGCGG